GCGCCTGGATAAAAAGCAGACCGAGTGCGCTAGAAGGAAAGCGTTTACGTAGGAGCATAAAGTACAGCCAGCCTAAGCATCGAATTGATTGGCTAGACCCAAATTTTTTGATTGGAAAACCTAGTGTGACATCCAGATCGGCACTTGGATGAAAAGCAGACTAAGTGCGCTAGAAGGAAAGCGTTTACAAGCGAGCATAAAGTACAGTGAGCCTGAGCATCGAATTGATTGACTAGACCCAAATTTTTTGATTGGAAAACCTAGTGTGACATCCAGATTGATTGCCTCTTGCTTTAAAAATTTATTTTCTTGTATATAAGCCAAGAAAATCTTAGAGTTCTACTTCCAGGGTACCGATACGTCGAAAAACGAGAAGCTGGTGCTGAAGATGATCATGTTTTGCATTTTCTACCTGCTCCCAATGTGCACAGTGCTCGTCTGTGACTATCTCCATTTCCACGATGTCAAAGCGACCAGCAGAGCGACGATCGAATGCAAGCTGTTGGTTTTGAGACATTCTCGAGAATTTTAAGTCGTATTTTTTATCAAGGGCCCTCAGGGGCCCTCAGGCCAGCCTTAGATACAGTACCAAATTCCCAATTTTCAGCTTCGGCGGCGTCGAGGCGGGCCTCTGCAAGCAGCCGCCGCGGCTACAGGTTCGTTTTTGGACACGAAGCCTATAGCCCAAATTTTTTGATGGGAAAACCTAGTGTGACATCCAGATAGCTTATCCTAGAGTGCTGGACCAGGTGCCGAGCCTGGAGGTCTCAGGGCATTGACCTAGACGTCTCAGAACGGAGTTCGGCTTTAAAAAAAGCGTCTCGAATGTGTAACCCTAGATAATTTTTTGCGATTTCGCTGATCTGGAACGCACATGAGAATATTTTGAAAGAAAATTATGAAAATTATGAAAATGAAAATTTTAGACTGGATCGGTCCCTAGGACTGAACCGGAAAAAATTAAAAATCTAATTTAAATCTAATGCAAATCTAAAATTGTAGATATCTAGACTGATATCCAGATCGGCTAAAAAACTAAAAAATTTGAAGATTTGATCATAGAAAATGGAGATTTTCGCTTGAACTTGAACACAGCTTTATTGAAGTGTTTCTAAAGGTGAAGCCAGGTCTTTAAACAAATTTTTGGGCTATCTGGAGCGCAGTACAGTCCAAAATAGAAAAAAAAGAAAAAAAGTATAGTACGGATTAGTACTATGTACAGTACTCTGTACAGTACGTAGTACGGAGGCGACAGTACGTAGGTCTGATCATAGCCTATCATACTGTACCCTGGCTATACCCATACTTATTTCCAGCCCTCTCGCTACCTCCTGCAACTGATCATGGGTCTTCTCGGCGGTGGCGCGTGCGCTCTCTGGATTCTCTCGCCGAAAACTTTCTCGAGTTGGCAGAGGTCAGCGCTCGAGCTAGAATGCTATAAAACTCGTTTCAGGTTCCTCTGTTGTGGCATGTGCTCGCCAGCTCCGCAGAAATCCGCTTCCGCTCAGCGTTTGGCCTCCTCCTCGCGGCCGTTGATCGAACCGCAGATTCCGGTTGGTTTACAATCCATTGAAAAGCTTGATTTTTTTATGGAAAACCTAGTGTGACATCCAGATTAGCGCTTGGATGAAAACTAGACCAATTGCGCCAGAGGGGAGGTGTTTACATGAGGGCACAAGGTACAGCCTAAGTACACCAGAAAAAATTCTCAGCTAAACCCCAGTTTTTTTAATTGGAAGGTGCATCCAGATGGCAGAAAAAATGGATCGCCAAAAAGGGGGTTTACGAAAGACAAAGTACAGCCTAAGTACGCCAGAATTCAGCTAAACCCCAGTTTTTGGATTAAAACCTAGTGTGACATCCAGATTAGCGCCTGGATAAAAAGCAGACCAAGTGCGCTAGAAGGGAAGCGTTTACATGGGAGCACAAAGTACAGCCTAAACTACGACCAAATTCTTGGCTAGACCCCAGTTTTTTTAATTGGAGAACCTAGTGTGACATCCAGCTAGAAGACCCAGATAAAAATTGGATCAATTGCGCCAAAAGGGAGGTGTTTACATGGAAGCACAAAGTACAGCCTAGACTACGACCAAATTCATGACTATTTCAAAGTCCTTTTGCTTGGAATAGCTAGCGTGCCTTCCAGCTTGGCGATTCCTTGCGCCAGAAAGTTATTTTATTTTGTTTCAGCCGAGAAACCCCTGCTAGTCCTATTCACTGTCTTAAACAGGCCACTTACAGTACCCAAGGGCGCAAGTACGCTAGTGTACTATGTATGTTGTGATTTCCAGTTACAGGTCATCCCTCATCCTCCACACCCGCCCACACATTACGCGCCACTTCACTCGCAACACTCCACCCAAGTGTGGCGCCCGAGCAACGTCGTTTGAATCAAAAACGGATTCAATTCCTTTTCATTTCAATATTTTTAGCTGTCGTGAGTTCCAGATAAGAAAATCTAATCGTTAAAATATCGAAATTATTGTCGAAAAGTACAGTAATCTCTTCGAACTCGTTCACAGTATATCCATTGACGAGTTTCCTCTAAATCTCGTTACTTTACTGCTAGCTAATCGTCGTGACTTCCAGATAACAATATCCAATCGTTAAAATATCGAAATTATTGTCGAAAAGTACAGTAATCCCTTCAAACACATCCTTAGTATTACCATTCACGAGTTTCCTCGAAATCTTATTATTTTATCGATAGCTATCCGTCGTGAGTTCCAGATAACAATATCCAATCGTTAAAATCTATAAACTATTGTCGAAAAGTACAGTAATCCCTTCAAAACTCATCCACAGTATAGCCATTCACGAGTTTCCTCTAAATCTCGTTACTTTACTGCTAGCAAACCGTCGTGACTTCCAGATAACAATATCCAATCGTTAAAATCTATAAACTATTGTCGAAAAGTACAGTAATCCCTTCCAAACTCATTCTTAGTATTACGAATTAACGATTTCTCTCAACCTTTGCGCTATTTGTTCCAGTATTGCCGAAACCATATTTCAGCAAAAAACCATCTCATCATTAAAGCTTTACTCTCTATTTATTCGTCATCTTTTATTTTTCTAGCATTTTCCACACGGGTCCGTCTCTCTTTTTCTCTTTTGCTCTGTCCATTGATTGCCATATTTTTGCGATGTCTTTTTTTTGATAAACATTTTCATAAATCTCGTGAAGATTCCACAAAATATCATATTCTACAAAAACAACGAGTTAAATTGCATATTTAGCTAAAAAGCTAAAAGCTAAATTCAAGGCAACGTTTTTTTAAAGAATTACAGATTATTGACGAGTTAGTAATTAGAGACTAACACAATCCTTTACGTCATTGAAAGCTTGCTCTTGGAGCGCTGAAGGCTTGTACAAGTCTTGGAGCGCTGAAGTCGGTTCCAGACTTCTTCAATGGCTTTCTCAAGTTCATTCACGCTCGAATATTGCTTGTTTCTCTTGTCTTGAATCTCGAACGAGTCTCAATCGGGCTCAAGTTCAGTCCAGTCCAGTCCAGTCCACTCCACCCCAGTCCAGTCCAGTCCAGCCCAGTCCAGTCCAGTCCAGTCCAGTCCACTCCACTCCACTCCAGTCCAGTCCAGTCCAGTCCACTCCAGTCCAGTCTGTACCCGAGCCAGGTCCAAGGTCAGTACAAGGGACCCTGATTGTTCGTACTCCATTCGTACTGCGCGCCCTTATCCAGCAAGATCTTAAAAACGAAATTTCAGGCCTCAAAATGGATATTTTTTGATTTTCGGTTTTGAAATGATCAGAATAAAATTCTCTTCAAAAATACGCCTGGGTTTTTGGTGCCGTTTCGAAATACGGCTTTTTTTTTGATCTGTCTTCGCACCTAGGTGTTCCTATTTTGCGCAGATCACAACCTGCTTCCACATTTCTCTATCCCTTGCTATTGTCATCAGCGAAATGACTTTTCAAAGAAAAAAAAACCTTCTATTAGGTTGTGGGGTTTTGGAGGCCTAAAAATTTTCGCAATATTTTTTTCCAAGAGAACAATGCTATTAAAATTACTCCGGTTTGTACCATTAGACCGCTTTGTACTTTGTAATTAGTCCGCTTTGTACCATTAGATAAATAAAAGATAAATCTGTGTTCTGCATTCGGCTTTTCAGCGATTTTGAAAACTTTCTGTTTTGGGGGTTTTGGGGTGCAAAGAAAAGTAGTCAGATGTATGTGGGAATGAAAAGTACAAATGTATGAAATGTCGAAATGCTTGGTCTTTTATTTGAGCAAGAAATTAGTGCTAACTTTACATAGAAAAAGTTGCCAACTCAACAATTTTTAACGCTTTTGACCCCTGCAAAATTGCCAAAACTGAAGCTTTTCAAAAACGCTGAAAAGCCCAATGTAGAATGTGTTCTAATGGTACAAAGCGGAATAATTTTAATAGCTTTGTTCTCTTGGAAAAATTCGCATTCAAAACCCGACAACCTAATAGTTGATGGGGTTTCCGTGTTGCTAAGCTGGGCGTCGATTCACCGCAATGTTGAAGTGACAGTTTATCGTTTTCCTGTGCCTATCAAAGACATACTGATCTTGAAAAACAATTAAACCAGGGCCAAGTCACAAAACTGGTAAAAACTAATATTTATTCAATAAAACATGGCAAAGATGCGGGAACAAAAAAAAAGGGTGCCAGACATCTGAAATCTCCGAATTATGGCAATTGAGTGTAGGCGAGTACATAAAAAAAAGAGATGGGTCTTAACAATCAAAAGACAAAACGGTCAACAACGACAACAACAAATTGGAGACAAGTGCCAAATTTGTGTGATAGACTCAATGTCGGCCTAAAGACTAGAAAATTTGACAATTTGACAATATGGGCAAAAGGGGAGTAAAACAACAAGAAAATAGATGATCCTGTGTTAGAAATGAAGAAACGAATCATTTTTGATGAAAGAAGTCAACAAAACAAAACAAAACAACGACGAGACAGGTAGAACTGAAATGAAGAACGCAAAATGTTTGTTTTTTCCTAGAAAAAAGCCAGATCCTCGGCGAGCATGTAATACGTCTGTTGATCAGTCATCCTTACAAAGTCACGAATCTGAAAGTGAAAAAGTAAATGATTCAAGTCAAGAATGATATGGAGCTTAGTACTTAATGAAACTGTCAAGTTTAGAGATTAACTTCTATTCAAAATCTTCACCAAGTTACACTTTCCATAAAACTTCCAGGACTACTTATGCTTAAAAGATTCTACAGTATTTAACAAGTCAATCTAACTCCACTTTGCCAAGTATCTTCTAAAACACACCTCCTTACTATTGAACAAGCGTCTAGTGCCCTCGATGATACGATAAGAACGCGATGACGGTGCGACTTCTTGCATCTCGCTGCCTGCCCGCTTCCCCGGGGTGATCGCATTTTGTGCACGTCGTGGATCGAAATTCATCGGATAGGGCACCTTGTTGTTGTGATTGCTGTTTAAGCGATCGCTCATTCCGTAGTTGTTGCCCGAGAATTTTGGCATCATTGAAACTAAAGTTTCATGTTTGATCAACACCACTATTAATTAGGTTGAACGGAAAGTCTTTGGTTACTTTTTTATGCTAGCATAAATGGCAAATTTACCAATTGTCATACGGTTCGCTCCAAATAGAAAATGTCTATTCTTTTTTCTTTGATCTTTTTAAGACAATTTGGACCCGTTTTCAAGCAAATTCTAGTCCCCAGAACTCGTTTTTTGCAAAATTCGATAAAAGGTAATACAAAAAAAATTGGCTAGACAGATTCTTCTGAAAATTTATCTATATGCCTAACTTCTTGCGCTCTTTCCTTTCTTTATTGATCCCAAAATGGATTCCCTTGACCCAAATAGCTGAATTGCGAATTTGGCTCGTTGCTTTTTTGACTATTCGACTTTGCGCTCCTGTCTAGCATCTTATAATGTTATTTTGTAGAAAAATAATAGACTCTTAAAAAGAAGCCGACTTTACGTTAATCATTAATCATTTCTAAACAGAATTTTTAAAAAGTGTCTAAAGACTTTCCGTTCAACCTAATAATAACACTAGAACATACCATCAGATGGTGTGAATGTTCGTGAAAGAAACGACTCGTAGGGCACTCGCTTCATCTCAGGAGGCTTCATGAAGTACTGCTGCGATAGGTGAGGCTCTGAATCGGGCGTCTTCGAACGTTGGAAAAGCTTCTTGGCATTCTTAAAGAAAGTTTTAAATCAAAGTAACATCAAGCGAATAACCACCTCTGCCAATTTGTTCTCTCGACGCGAGTTGACGGCTTTGTTCATCCTGAGAACCCTCTCAAAACCTTGCAACGATTCGCGAGCGATGCGTTTCTCCGGCTTTTGTGGGCTCGGCAGACCAAAGACCTGAAATCGAATATATTGGTAAGGAAAGCTTTAAAGACTTAAGCTCACATTAGATGACGTTTGATGAAAAAGCTGCCTCTTCGAATCGATCGGTTCACGCTTCGGTAAATCGGGCACAAACTCGCCATAGTTACCCCGCCAAGGCCCGCGAGTTGATGGCTTCTCACGCACGAGAGCGTTGTTCCAAGCACTGTCGCCTTTTGAAAAGAACTCGTTAGCGGCCCAATTTGAAGACTAAACGATTACAAAGTTGTAGTTAGACAAAAAAAAGCCAACCTTTTTTTCATTGCCAGCTTTAACCAGAGGTCCCCACATATCCGGCACGGGAGAGTTGCCACTACAGTTGAGCGTATTCTTTGAAATGTCAGTGGATCCAAGTGAGAAAGGCATCTAAAGCGGGCTGAAGTTCATCATCTAGCCAAGCTTTCCTACCTGATTAGATACTTGAATGTCTCCTTTCGAACCATTTCTGGTCATCCATTCGTTCATCTTTTCAGGTATCACTCCAAAAGCAGCCGTCTTTTCCCCATTCACCGTCTCTTTTGCTTTGTTGCTGTTGTTAATATTGCGACTTGTGTGTGCGTTCATCACCTAAAAGTTTCTATTTTTGTAAACGAAATTGCTCCCAAACCCGATAATCGTCCCATCCATCATCCTCGTCAGAAACTGTTTCTTCTGGCTGAGTAGTGACGAGCTTCTAAGCTTTCAATTTTAGGTACCAATTCTCAATCTCTTACCATTTTATCGCTTTCATCAGCGGACAACTTTTCGTTGTCATCCTGTGAGAAATCGAAGTATATTGGATGGAGGTCCTTCTGCTGCTTCTTCGGTGGATTATCGTCTTTTGGTGGGATCTAAAGTTTAACTTTGATAACAATTCGACATCGACAAACTTCTTTGTGCTCCTGATCACCAGTTGCTTGAATTCTTCCAAAAGTGGGAGCCTTGACAACGTTCTAAATCAAATCCTTTACAGTACTTTTAATTCTACTCACCATGTTTTGATCACCCGATCCATCCATCGCTTGAGTTGTGCCGAAAGCATTGACAGATTCCACCGGCTTCTCCACCCCAAACGATGTGGATCCAGTGGCACGTGCAGCCTAAAATCCGTCATTCAGCTATCAACAATTTGCAATCAACCCTATAATCGTCCCAGCCATCATCCTCCGAATCGAACTCTTCATCTTCTTTGATAGTCGACAAGTCATCCTTTATCTCCTCTGGTGTTGGTGGTGGTGTGGCTGGCTCAAAAGAGTCAAGTTAATCAAACGAATGTCAATACTCACTTTTTCTTCAATCGCTTCCTCAAAAGTCTCCTCTTCTTTTTGTTCATCAACAACCGTCGCATCAGCATCGTCTTTAGCACAGAGTTTCTCATCCGAAAGCTTGTCCTAAAGTTAAAATTTTGTAAAACATTGCAATTTCTTTAATAACATCAGCTAATATTTGTTTTAAACATGTTTCAGACTCTTGAAACCAATTAAAACTTCCACACTTTTTCTTTACGGAACTACTGCCGGCCTAGTCATGTACGACCAGATGGCTAAATTAACGATGACGGTCCAAACCTAAAACTCCATTTCTTGTTGTTTCAATGTTTGGGCTTTTGGGTCTGGACCGTCATCGTTGATTTAGCCGACCCGATTTACCTTATTTTCTTCAAAATCATCGTTTAACACCTCGTTCATCCACTCCTCATCCGACGAGAGGGACAAATCGATAACATCGGGTGGTAGCTTCTCATCCATTTGCTGATTTGGAAGAGTCTGTTTGACTGATAAAGCATTCTAAATGTCAAAAGATATTATTTCAAACTAAATACGAAAGTTCCCACTAATATCAAAGACTTAGCTGAAGTTTGGTTTTGAGTTTAGATGTCTATGCTTATGTAGCAAGCTAAATAGATGGAATAAACAGAATTAAGCTTAACCAAGCCTGCTGTGCGAAGCTTTGCGAAAGAGCAAGTAAGTGTAAACAGCAACAAACTGCAACATTGCTAAACAATGAATTTAAAGTATGATAGACTTCAAAAGATCCTGCTATAGTTGTTGGAAAGGCAGTTTGTACACACCAGTTTTTTCAAGCTTGCCATCAGTTTTAAAAACTTTTTCTGGGATAATAAATTGCACTGAATCCATTGGAAGCATTTATAAAGCATTCTGAACAATTCTGAACTTTTATGTCAGTTTAAGCAACAATTCCGAGCCCTCAAGAGCTCTATTTCCTAATTCCTATTTCTATCTCCTATTTCCACTTGGGTTTAGAGGTCTGAGACCGAATTAAAAGGCTTAAAACCTCAGTAACTGCTTGAAATAGCTAGAAAACAGTCACTAAAGTTTAAATAAATACCGAATTAAGAATCTACGCCATTAGAATTGATCGCCATTAAACCCTAGAAGCGAAAATTAGTCCGCTCTGGTTTAATAGAGATCAATGTACACTGCCCCCCTCCCCAACTATAGCACTAAAATTAAACCAAGTTTCTAACTTCGTTGAATTTAGCCCAATTTACATCAAACCAAGCAACAAACCTTTCTTGGAGTGACTGGACTTGTGGGGAGATTGCGGAAGAACGATGGAGCGCTCTTTTTGACGAAACTCGCTTCGCCGAACGTTTGCCTCGTTTGATCGCTGTCGTTTTCCTTCACGCGCATCGTCTTCGACCCTTCTTTCAGGTCTCTATTGTTGTTGTTACTTGGTTCCTTCTGTTCGACGGGCATCAACCAGGCATACGGCTTACTTGTTGCATTAGCCATATCTGAAATGAAAAAAAGATTGTTTAAGATAAAAATTAAGCCGGAAAACGAATCAAAAACACAAATCAAAATGCAACAAGTTTCAACTTCGCAAATTCTACAAAGTTTTGGATCTTTTGAAAGATTTTAGTAATGATAAAGTGATGATAAAGCCATTGATCAAGTGTATTTCTTGTTTTGAAAGGGTTGCAGTGAGAAAAAGCTTAAAAATAACCGATAAACCGATTTCAACTCAAAGAAAACTTTAAAACCGATAAATTTGGTCACTAAAATCATCTCAATTGCACGAAAATACGGATTACAAGGTTACAAGGACGAAAAGCGCTAAAATTACACGGCTTCAAAACGAATAAATTTACTACACAAAAAACACTTCAACTCCAAGAAAGTACCGAATTTTGACAAAAGTTAGCACTTTTCAAAGCTTTGCAAACCAATTCGGGTATAGAATCGATGTTTTAAAGGAAAAATGCATCCATCTAGAAGAATGAAGGTATTTCAACAATTAAAATACGCGATTCGTATAAATTTCGCTTGTTTTAACAGCTTAACACGGCTTAAACAGCCAACAATTCGATCAAAAACCGTTCTAGAGCGCTTTAACACACATAAAACCGTTCACAATTCGATAAAAAGACAAAATTCGGCAAAACGTGGGTTTTTCCGGGAGTGGGACAAATGCGACCTTTTTTTTGCGCACCCGGACATTTGCACACCTTTTTTTCCGCACTTAGCTCATTAGCGCACCTTTTGCGCGTTTTAAAGCTAATATTAACCAATTTCTATTCCAAAAGTTGTTTTTCTAGGTAATTTGAGGACGTAGAATCGAAGTTTTGGCATATCAGAGCTTGTGGAAGCGAACGGATGGAGTTATACAAGAGACAAACCAATTTGAAAGACAAAACGGCTAGGTCAAATTACAGAAAATTGTTGCTGTTGAAAATTGATTCTTCTCTTTTGTATAACTCGGTCCGTTCGCTACCACAAGCTCTGATATGCCAAAATTTCGATTCTACGCCCTAAAATTACTTAGAAAAACAACTTTTGGAATAGAAATTGGTTAATTTTAGCTTTTAGAGCTTTTAGAGCTTAATATTAGCTTTAAAACGCGAAAAAAGGTGCGCTAATGGGCTAAGTGCGGAAAAAAGGAGCGCAAACCGTATTGGAACCGTATTAGATCAAAAGGAACCGTATTAGATCAAAATAGGAACCGTATTGGAACCGGGTGCGCAAAAAAAAGGTAGCATTTGTCCCACTCCCAAATTTCGCTTGTTTTTACGGCTTAAACAGCCAACAATTCGATCAAAAACCGTTCTAGAGCGCTTTAACATACATAAAACCGTTCACAATTCGATAAAATGACGTTTTTTGAGCCAAAAAAAGACAAAATTCGACAAAACGTGGGTTTTTCCTTAAAAAGTTGGCCAAAGAAATGGCCCCAGCAAATTTCGTCTTTCTATGGAGTAGTCTAAATTAGCCATTTCGGTCATTTTATTTGCGCAACTCGCCATAACTTTCGGTACTTTTCCAATATCGGGGAAGCGGTCCGATTATCGAGGGAGCGAAATGAAAATCAGGGGAGCAAATTTTGCCCCCACGAAAAATGCATTTCCAGGAATGGATTTTAACGGCAACGTTTTTGTAAAAACCCCTCCCCCGATAATCGGACCGCTCCCTCGATATTGGAAAAGTACCGATACTTCTGCTGTCCCCCTCTCCCCTAACATCAGAGATTTTTTCCGAGTTGAAAAACTTCTCTGGAAAACGGCGAATCACGTGGTTTCCCTGCGGTGGGCCAAAAAAACTCGCAAGCCAGACGAAACGCGGTTCAACGAAACACATTTTCCCCCTTTCGTCTAGCTTGCTAGTTTTTTTTGGCCTACCACAGGTGAACTGGGAAACCACTAGGAAAGTAGGAAACCACTAGGAAAGTAGGAAACCACTAGGAAACAGGAAACCACTAGGAAAGTAGGAAACCACTAGGAAAGGAGGAAACCACTGGGAAAGTAGGAAACCACTGGGAAAGTAGGAAACCACTGGGAAAGTAGGAAACCACTAGGAAAGTAGGAAACCACTAGGAAACTAGGAAACCGCTCAGTTTCCAGGAAAAGTTGAAAGCTGCAGTTGAAACTTCATTTCGTGCAACAGTCGGAGTCTGACTGGATCTAAGGTTCTCTCTGGTGAAAAAATCTCTGATGTTAGGGGGGAAAAACAGTACCGATTTTGGTGTCATTTTGTAGATTTCAATAAGTGCAACAAAATAACACCAAAATCATAAAGATTGGCGCATTTAGAACAAAGTTATGGTGAGTTGCGCAAATAAAATGTCGGGAATTCGCCTAGCCCGTTTGGTAACTAGTTTACGGTATCCAGTTACATTTTGTCGCGTTTTTGACGCACTACGTTATTGTCCACGTTTTAGAAAACGGTTTTAGCGCTTTTTGGCGAATGAGATAAATGCTACCTTTTTGCGCAGTTGAACATTCGCGCACCTGATCATTTGCGCACCTTTTCTCCCATTATAACTGCCCTAGACCCACACAATCGTTTTTAGCCCCACTTATTCACTTTTTGAATGTTTTACTTTTTCTTTTTATGGATTTACCATAGTTGCTTTTTTAGTTGCGAATCGACTTTAAGTAGCTCGGAAGGTGACACCAACTCGATCAAGGTACACTTTCTTTTTGCGTTTTACACCTACCGCAAATACTGTAATAGTACCCCACCCCCATTAATGACGGTACGGAGTGTTGCGTCGTCTAGCTTTGAACGAGTTTTTCTCGACACTGGTTTATGCTACAATGCGCGCTTAGGTATCAAAAAATAGCTGAAATTCTGGGTTATTTTTTGATACCAAAAACGCATTTTTTGAAAGTACGGGCGCTTTGAAAAAAGCTTTGATTAACAAAATACTAAAAAACTTTTGCGACTACGCAGCTGTACGAGGGGGGTGGGATACTATTACAGTATTTACGGTATACATTACATACTTTATATCTTATCTTATCTTTACATACATTTAAATCTTAATTAAGCTATTACGCTGTTAACTAAGCTGTTAAGCTGTTAACTAAGCTATTAAGCTGTTAACTAAGCTGTTAAACTGTTAACTAAGCTGTTAAGCTATTAAGCAATCTATTAAGCTGTTAAGTAGGCTATTAAGCTGTTAACTAAGCTGTTAAGCTGTTAACTAAGCTGTTAACTAAACTGTTAAGCTGTTAACTAAGCTGTTAACTAAGCTGTTAACTAAGCTGTTAACTAAACTGTTAAGCTGTTAACTAAGCTGTTAAGCTGTTAACTAAGCTGTTAAGCTGTTAACTAAGCTGTTAAGCTGTTAACTAAGCTGTTAAACTGTTAACTAAGCTATTAAGCTGTTAACTAAGCTGTTAAGCTGTTAACTAAGCTATTAAGCTGTTAACTAAGCTGTTAAACTGTTAACTAAGCTGTTAAGCTATTAAGCAATCTATTAAGCTGTTAAGTAGGCTATTAAGCTGTTAACTAAGCTGTTAAGCTGTTAACTAAGCTGTTAACTAAACTGTTAAGCTGTTAACTAAGCTGTTAACTAAGCTGTTAACTAAACTGTTAAGCTGTTAACTAAGCTGTTAACTAAGCTGTTAACTAAGCTGTTAACTAAACTGTTAAGCTGTTAACTAAGCTGTTAAGCTGTTAACTAAGCTGTTAAGCTGTTAACTAAGCTGTTAACTAAACTGTTAAGCTGTTAACTAAGCTGTTAACTAAGCTGTTAACTAAACTGTTAAGCTGTTAACTAAGCTGTTAACTAAGCTGTTAACTAAGCTGTTAACTAAACTGTTAAGCTGTTAACTAAGCTGTTAAGCTGTTAACTAAGCTGTTAAGCTGTTAACTAAGCTGTTAAGCTGTTAACTAAGCTGTTAAACTGTTAACTAAGCTATTAAGCTGTTAACTAAGCTGTTAAGCCATTAAGCAATCTATTAAGCTGTTAAGCAATCTATTAAGCTGTTAAGCAAGCTCTTAAGTAAAGCTCTAAACATCAACAAGATCAACAGCAAGCAAAACGATTGACTTTTCTTGAGCTTTTCTTTATCATTTACTAAAAAACTTTTGCGACTACGCGGCTGTACGAGGAGGTTGGGGTACTATTACAGTATTTACGGAATAAAGTTGCCAGCAGTCTATCTAGAAAGTATTCTCCTATAGTAATTTGTTTGTTTTTAGAATTTTGTCGGGCACGCTTCGATCTAACAGGAATAAAGAAGTGTTTTATGACGCGAGCGGCTTCGAATTTCGACTCCACAAGAACACTCGGACCAAAGGACCGATTTCCAGGTACTAATTTATAGTTTAACTGAAATTTTATACGTTATGAAAGTGAAAATTCGGTGCTATAGTAGGGGGAGCAAAAATTTTCTTTGCCTTTGCAAAGAAATTCTATTATTCTTTGCCAAATAAGCTGATTTTTTTGCACTTAGGGGTTTTTGACTATGCTGAATCGATTGGTGATAGTTCCATACAACATTTCACAACTTTTAACAACATTCAAGACTACTTGCAGATGAAACTAACGTGTTTCGAGCAAACTAACGAGCAGATGAAACGCTTTTCCAAGTTGGAATTAGAAAAACGAGTTTCGACTTTTTAGGAAAGTTCTATAAAAGGCACAAGATGTCCTAGTAACTTGTTACTTGTTGGTAACTGGTAACTTGTTGTTATTTTTGTTGCTATTTGTTATAAACGTCGTTAAAAGCTGCGAAATGTTGTGTGAAACTATCACCAATCGATTCAACATAGTCAAAAACACTTGGGTGCAAAAAAATCAGATTATTTGGCGAAAAAATTTTTTTGCCATTCCCAACTATTAGATTGACAACTTGAAAGTTGGTACACTTTTTCGTATTTCCCATAAAACATATTTAATACGC